GATCTTGTGGGTCTGTCCACACTCGCTTGACTGTGTCTGTGGTCGAGAGTGGGAAGAATAAAACAATTAACATGAACAGTACTCCGGGGAATGTCGGTTACCTAGACAACAGTGGACATAGCCAAACAAACGGGTCCTTTCATAACAATTCAAAACAAGCAGGCACGTCTCCATTATTAGCATTGGTGAAATAGAACTCCTTTTCCCATTTAAGCTGAACAGTTTAAAGTTTTTTCCCTACGGAGCTAGTGACTTAAAATGGTGACACAGCATTTTTGTTTTCGCTGGCCTTTGCAGACAGAGATGAGAAAGCAGAAAGTGCAGTTGCCAATTGCAGGATGTGTGTGTTTTTTTTTTAATTATTCACATCAGTGTTTGATGAGCCAGCAGGTCCACCCTGCATCCTGGCAGAGGTGCTGATCTGTAATCAGTTACAGCAGACCCAGAACAATGGTGCGATGGTATTTCTGTCTTGGTTATAAAACATTATTATCAGCACAGTGGGACAGTACAATCAAACTAATGGTTATCTTAGCTTTGTCCACGGAATGACTTCACCTGTAAAATGGTTTAGACTTTGGCCAGTGAAAATGGGCTTCTCAGAGTCTAAACATGTCAGAAATAAGGCTAGAACCCTTCTAATTATCTGCTTTCTTCTTATCCTCTAAACTTGCATGAAAACGACTCAAATCTGGAGTTGAAATCCAACTCAGTGACCCAAAAGCATGTCCAAACTCTGCTTTCACAGAACAAAACTCATGGCTGGATCCACAAATCCAAATTATAACTCAGTCATGCAGAAGAACAAACACATAAACAGGATTGAGAAATCACACTGTCCCCTTTGGACCAGGGCCTAATTATGATGGACGGAAGTCAAGTAGAAATAAAAACTGTTCTGTGGTCTGGTTGTTTGAACATCACAGCTCTTTGTGAGCACCATGGGCACTTTGTTAAGGATCTGATTTATTCACTTTGACTCCGTAAACCAAGGATTTGTGACAACATGCTGATAGATTAGAGATTATGGTCATTTAAACCTGTGAGGACATCATCACTGCAGATATCAGCATGTGACATGAAGACAATGTTTCTTTTATGATGGACCCTTCTTACTTCAGCAGGACAGTGACCAACCACTCTGCAGCAAACAGATTTATGTTCAAACTATTATGAAACATGCTGCTAACACCTGTTTGTTTTTCTCTGTGATATTATTGACCTATTTAATAAGAATACTTAGTTTTGTTTCTTCTTTCTGACTATAGATCAGCTCTGTGACTTTGCACAGGTTTGTGAGAGCAGCATTTGGAGGCTCTTTTTTATTGAAAGCTGCCTTAAAGCTTTTTACTTCTCATCAGTTTTCACTTATTTTTTGTGTAATTTTTCATGTTTTATTTAGCTTCTGTTTTTGTGCCTTTGAGCACTGGGTTTTTCGTAGTTTTCATTTATTATTATTTTTTTGTTGTTGTTTAGAGTCTATTCTCCTGTTCTAGTTTTTTCCAATTGTGTTTATCCCCTCTGCTCTTTGTAAGATCCTGTTCTTGGTGTTAAGTTTTATCATTTTGTTAGTTTATCCTCATGTTCTCCAAGCTTTTCAGTTTCAGTAATCTTCATGTTTGCACTGCATTATGGTTCTTTGTCCATCCATCCATTGTCTGAACCCGCTTTGTCCACGTAGGGTTGCGGGGGGGCTGGTGCCTATCTCCAGCGGTCAACGGGCAATCAGGCAGGGTACACCCTGGACAGAGAGCCAGTCCATGCAGGGCAACACAGAGACACACAGGACTAACAACCATGCACACACACACACACACTCACACCTAAGAAGGGAGTTTTCCTCTCCACTGTCGCTTTATGCTTGCTTGGTATGAGGATTGCTGTATAGTCACTGACACTAGTCAGTGACTTGATGCAATTTGCTGGGTTCCTTATATAGGAAACATTATTTCTGATTGGCTTAATGAACTGACCTGAATTGGAATTTTTATTATGTGAAGTGCCTTGAGACGACTCTTGTCGTGATTTGGCGCTATATAAATAAACTTGAATTGAATTGAATTGAATTAAGAACAATTTAGACAGAGCAATCAGCCTAACAGTCATGTTGTTGGACTGTGGGAGAAAGCCGGAGTACCTGAACCGCATGCACAGGGAGAACATACAAACTCCATGCAGAAACACCCCAGGCTGGGAAGCGAACCCAGGACCGTCTTGCTGCAAGGTAACAGCTCCAACCACTGCTCCACTGCGCAGCCCTGGTTCTTTTTTAACACAGAAAAAAAAATTTTATTTTACCTTGTTTTACTGATGTTTCGACTATCACTGCAGCCTTCTTTAGAGTTTTGCCACTGTTGGTGGCATCACTTTCCTGCCCTGTTTGTGTGTTGAGTTGCCGTCCGGCTTCACCAATGTATGTTTTATTGCATAGCTTGCATGGGATTTTAAATATGACTCCACATTTATGTTCTGTCTTTTTCTAACTGTAATGTACGGTTTTGTTGGTGTACTTATGTTGTGTTTTTTCATTGTTGCCATTATTTTCTGTTATGTCTTTTATGTATGGTTACATAAACAGAGTAGGAAGTGTATTCTGGTCAGAAATCACAATCAACAACAACAACAACAACGAAGGCCTGCTATTAGAGCCTCACGGGCAGCAACTGCAAGGCCAACTTGAACTGTTCAGCTAATTGTGAATAGGTGACTTTTAGCACTTTTAGCAGACAAACTTGCTATAGTTGAATTTGAAAAGATGGCTTCTAACACCTATGAAAAAGCTACTTTTCAGGTGTAGAAAACAAGTCATACTCATACACAGACTTGGGTGTGGTGTGTTGGCGCGATTGTGAACTGTGATGACAATATAAACTTGGGAATAAGAAGGACAGTTTACTACAAGAACCTTTGGCTTGATAAACACGACACGAAGATGCCTAAATCAAAGCAATCAAAGATACTTTATTGATGCCAGAGGGAAATTAGAGTTTCAGTACACACAACTCAGAGATCAGACATACATGGGCAAGACACATGACAATAAAGGCTACACTGCTGCCGAGGCGTTGGCTCTGCTGCAAAATATGGGTTCTTGTGATTCAGATGGGAGGGAAGAATCCATTCTCTTGCAGGAGAGTTCTGACTTGTCTTCAGATGATGAGTTGTGCTCCACGTCAGAGAGCAGAACTTCTCTAAAGAAGAAAGGTTAACAGGAGACACAGACGGGCAACATTTTGGAACCTGAAATGTTTAAATCTTTGAATGAATTGTCACTGCTCCACCGATTCACATGTAATTGCCACATTTACAGAACAAAGGCAACCATCCACAAGTGATTAAGAACAACAGCCCAGTCAAATGACAGCTCTCTGGTAGAGATGAGGGATCCCGTCAAATGACAAGTCTCTGGGAGTTCTAGTGTTAAAAAAAAGAAAATCTGTAGTATAATCCAGCATTACACCTGTAACTGGTCTTAATTTTTGTTTAAAAAAGCAGAAAAAAGAGGATTTATAAAGGAACAAAACTTCAAAGAGAAGTGGAGTTATTATTTTATAAAGAGATAAGTGGTAAGACTAATAAGGATCCCTTTATTATGATATGGTTAAGTAGTTGTTAATACTTTATTTGTTTAGTTTATTAATGCTAAATAATGCACTAAATAAAATGAATGAAGCACCCTTATTGTAAAGTGTTACCGGACTACAGCCGAGTTATTTTGATTCCTTGGTCTTGTAACTGTGGAAGACCTAAAAAGAGTAAAACTGGTTTTTGGAGGGGCGACAAAAAAGCTTCTGCAGTTTTAAGAAAGAAGCAAAAAAATTAAACATTTTAATTACCTTTAAATTAGGAGCAAAAAATATATATATATAACAAATTAATTTATTTTTCGTTCTGCCCTAAAACATTTCCCCCTCCTGACCTTATTCACATAAGAAAAACTTTTCATTTAATCTATTTCATTTCATTCATGGATCTTTCTGTCAGCATTTTTTCCCTTTATAAAACACACTTCAAATATTAAAGCACATTTTATTTGTTATGAAATTAAAACAAATATTTAGCAGGTTTTTTTTTTTTGCCTTTCAGGCCTTCCATAGAGAGAAACCATCATCTGATCCATCAAAACACTTTTTCAAAGATTATTTTCATTGTGAAGGTGAACCTGAGACCTATTTTGTCTTTTATGAGGATGTAAAAGTAAACATGGGGATCTTTATGGGTTCTGAAGGATGGTTGGATAATCTCCTCCCACATTTCCTTTGTTGCTTCCTCTATTCTCCGCTGTCCTTCTGGTATCAGTTGTTCCTAGTAAACCGCTACACATATAGAATTATATCCGCTAACAGCTTGCACATGTTCAGCATGGGTGGTTCAAGCACAAAGACAGCTTCCAGCAAAGGCATCTGAACCACTTTTTGCCCACTCAACTGATTTCTCTCTGCATTCACAACAGCAATGAGGCTGCAGCTGCAAATAAAACACCTGGAGAACCTTTAAACCCATAAATGAATGATCCAGCAGCTGCAGAACATCAGGCCTGCAGGTTTTATATTCTCACACTCACTTGTGTCTGTTCTGTGGTTTCATGAGTAACTCAAACATATTCAGATGTGTTTATCACACAGAGGGCAGTAAAACGTCCAGAGGGGATTGGACAGGTCAGACAGAAATATGTGCAAAAAGGAAGACACATACAACTTCAATGTCCCCATTTCCTGTCCTCTTCTCATTTTTATATCCAGCTTTCAAGAAAAAGAAGCTGCTGAAATGATCAAATAATTAAGGATCAGAAATTTTTTAATGACTCATAAGTTATTTGAATATTTGTTTTGGTCTGGACACATTTCATGTAGTTTTGCGTATTATTTTGCCACATTGTGATTGAATCTTATGACCCAGAAAAAGTAAAACATCTAAAAATGAAAACAAGTTTCTGTAATAAATCTTTCATCAGCGCATCTTCGCAATAATCAGATCAAACCAGCGTAGGATTTATTTCAGAATAGGCGGCAATAATGGAGTGATGTGATATCACATGACAACTGGGCTTGGTGCTGCTTTCTCTGGATCCTCATCGGCGGATATGACACTTTGGAGCTCAGGCAGACGGGAAACCTCCTCCAGCAGACGCACAATGATCCAGCTTTTTCTCTCTGGACCGAGCTGCTTCCTCTTTCGGACCGCTCCAAACTCTCACAGGTCGAATAAATCCCGCAGTTCCTGAGAGAGAAGCCGCAGAAGCCTTTGGTGCGTCCGGAAGGTCGGGAGTTTTGAGCTCAGCTTCGTGCGTGCGGTGGACTGAGGGCTTTCCCTCCACGTACACAGCCCCAGACTCACCTGCAGAGGCAGGACCACGATGCGCTCCAGGAATGCACTCCCCCGGTGAGTTCCAGCCTGTCGCTCCGTGCGTAAAGGAAAGATGGGAAGACAGAGTAGCTGGGACACTAACTGGGATATTTGGGGAAATACATTTTATTTTTGGCAATTTATTCATTTTCATATGTGCGCATAATGTATTACCCTTAACTGTTTGAGAGAGAGAGAGAAATAAAAGGGGCACAGTCACATCTGATTATGTCTCTCCTGACCTGACCCAGCTTTAACATTCAGTCCTTCAGGAATTTTCCATCCAACCCTATCAGGAAAGGTTTAAAAATACCCTGTTCAGTGTATTTACAACACTCAAACCAGTGGAAAATTCCATCTGAGAAACAGTTTCTTGAGTTTAAACATTTTCTGCTCCCATGCATTTAATTAAACTGCTAACTTTGAGGATGTTTGATAATGGTCCAGACATCCAGTTCTGTTCAGCCTGGTTTTAAGGAGAAAACTTTAAATCGTTCTCAAGATCTCTGCTCATGTGCATCCACAGGTTTTCCTCCCTTCTGTGTTTGCTCTTCCTCCCTACCGTTTTCTCCTCCTCACCCCGGCCTCAGTGGATTCTCCAGCGTGTCCCTGTGGTCCTACCCCAGCAAACGGAAGCTCGACCAGACCCCCAGTTCTTGAATCCAGCACGCTTGGATGTTGCCTCCCACTGTGACCCAGAATGCCACAAGAAAGCCCCACGCCCAAGCTACTGGGATTTGCGACATCATCTGGCCTATGAAACTCTCCATTCTAATGGTGAACTAACTGAGACTGCCATTGGAATTTATGGCTACAACTCCAGTTTAAGCACCAGTCCAGCATATTCCACTGGTAAAACTGAGCAGACACATGTCAGGAGAAAACGACAAATCTTTGGTCACGATGGGCGGTTCAGCATTGTAGGCCAAAATTTCCTACTCCAGTTTCCGTTCTCAGTGGCTGTCAAACTGTCCACTGGGTGTTCTGGTACACTAGTGGGGGACCGCCATGTCCTCACGGCTGCTCATTGTGTTCATGACGGCAAAAACTATGTGAAAGGAGCCCAGAAGCTTCGGGTTGGCTTTCTAAAACCCAAACTAGATGCACGACATTCACCCATCTTCTTTCCCTCAAACTTTACCAACCATGTTGAGGGGGGCCCTGGTCAATATGCCCCTCCCATCAGTGACAAAATGAAGTTCCAATGGATCAGAGCCAGACGTACCCATGTTCCCAAAGGCTGGATCAAAGGTACTGCCAATGACATTGGGATGGACTATGACTATGCTTTGCTTGAGCTCAAAAAACCCCACAAGCGCCGCCACATGAAGTTAGGAGTCAGCCCCCCAGCTCAGAGACTGCCTGGTCGTCGGGTCCACTTCTCAGGATTTGATAACGATCGCCTGGGACAGCTGGTGTACCGGTTCTGTAGGGCCGGAGAAGAAACTTCAGACTTGTTGTACCAACACTGTGATGCTCAGCCTGGTGCCAGTGGGTCAGGAGTCTACGCCAGGATGTGGAACGGGCGCCGCCGGCGCTGGGAGCGCAAGGTGATAGGCGTGTTTTCTGGGCACCAGTCGGTGGAGCGCCAAGGGGCGTCTCATGAATTCAATGTAGCGGTGAGAATCACACCTCTGAAATATGCACAGATCTGCTACTGGATCAAAGGGAACTTTGTGGACTGCAGAGAGGGCTGAGAGCAGAGTGAAGAAAGAGGGTCAACAAACCACTGACCCATCCTTCTGGAAGGCTACTAGATGATTCCACGTTTTATCCCTTTTGTGTGTAGCACTGATGCATTATTATGAATATTTGTTTCATTTGCCATAATTCTCAGACTTCAATATCCAAGTGACTGAAAAACACTATTTTATTTTGATGGAACAAACAGGAAGCACCATTACTCTGCAGTTAAACCCTTTTTGAGCTCAGACTAAAGATTGCACTGTTAAGACTTTGTTCTACTGAGGATCAGATCTGATGATGAATGTAAAACTCCAAAGATGCCGTTTTCTGCACTCTTACACATAAAAATTATCTAGATGCATAATGTACTGAATGCTAAAATGCTTTTTAATAAGAATAATCTGTTTTAAATGCAAATGTCTCAACTCTTGTTCTTTGTCGTCATCTAGTGGCCACTTAGAGCACTGCGGGGTATGGCTTCACCTGACTTTACTTGACTTTTAAGGTTATTCTAGCTTTCTTTTTAAGATAAATGCTTCCCAGTGAGATACTAACAAACACTTTCAGTTTAAACATATTTAATCCCAGAGAACACAAGATCTGTTAAACACCGTTTATTTTGTTTCAGATGTCAGAATACCCAGAAATGATGTTTGGAAGATGAATACTGTCAAATGCTGAGATATGTCTACTAACTTTACCGCCACTGACAAATGTAATAACCATGAGTCCGGACCCTGATCCTGGAACATGGCACAGTCAAAAGAAAAATCACAACAGCTTTTTTTCACTTTACAACAACTGAGCAAAACTCCAATCCTCCCTTTAAATCTGATGTGAGCTGAGATTAAATTGAAGTCAGGGGAACGAGGTCATGAATTTGTACTCCTCAGATGCGTCGACCAAATCAAAGAGAACAACAGTCTAAATAACTCAGAGGCTGGGCTTAAATGCACGTCTTAAAATGTGAAATTTCCTGATAGGATAAACTTAAAGAAACCACAAATGAGTCAAAACCTACGCTTCAGTCTCTGTGCTCTTAAGGCTGGCTGGGTTCAACTACAAAAAAGTACCCACACAACTCAGAAGAACTTAGATGGAGAAATTCACCAAAGAGCAGAAAAAGGAGTGTCAGAAAGCAGAAAAAGTCTGATTTCAAGAGAACGTTTATCCAAAACAACTCAACTGAAAACCTAGAAAATATTCTGGAACTCAATAGACTTTGGGGATATTTAATTTGGTCTTTTTAATCTGACAGTGAGTCAGGTTTGAGTGGTAATTCGTAGCACTTTCCATTTTAACTAAGGCAGAAATAAAACACCTGAGGCACGAGGATGTCTCAAAATGAGACTAAACAAAGTAAACTCGCCTCTTCAACCATGGCTAAAACTGTAAATATGAAGGATCACTAGTCGCCACGTTTTCTGCATCCAAATTAAAAATGGATATAAATTAATTAAACAGCGACTCAACGATCTGCTACAGAGTTGGAGAGATATTAAACGTAGATGAAAAATTACAAATTTTAAGCTCTTCCTATCCCAACTGTTCTCCAAAAATGCTTAATGAAATATTTCTTTGCTAACCCGGTTCTCTCATTCATGGTCCTCGAGACGCACCAGCTCATGTTTCGGATGAACTCCTGCTCCATGACTGTTTTTTCTCCTCCAGAAGACCGTTATTCAGATGTGTTCCAGCAGGAAACACACATTTAGTGAAATGCCGCATAAAAAATAGTTTCTTCAGGAAAAGATTCAACATTTAGGACCTATGATCTACCCTTTTCTCTGCTCAAAATTAAAATAATACTAATAATTAGAAAAGTCAATACTCACAGGGCGTTTGTGGTGAATTTGAAGCTGGGAAAACCAGTTGGTTTAGTTTGACTCCATCTAAATAAAGAAAAATAAAAAAGCTGCCCAACCCACCCAGATGCAACTGAACCTGGTTGATTTATCTGCATTTGGTTAAACGCTGAAGGTTCAATTTCTACTCGGTTGTGTTTAACTCTGCACCAAAAGAGGAAAACGTAGCAGACTGTTTTCATCGCGTCGGTCACTCTGATGAGATCAATGAAGGAGTTATTTATATTAACTGACCACATTTCTTTTTTACAACTTGAGAAACTATTTCTCTAGGAACAAAAGCAAACTGCTGGAATTAAGAACCCCCCTGTGACCAGATTAAAAACTGGGGGATTAAACAGGTTACAGAACCATCAGGATCTCAGGAACGACCTCCTCTCATCTCTGGCTGCTCACACCTCGTCCGACTGACAGCCTGAAGCCAAGTTCGATCCATGATTGGCCGCTTGCACTTAAAATATCTTTGGTGAAAGTCACCCGAGGCATTCCCCGACTTCCCTGTCGCCTAGCAACAACGTAACACAACATGCTAATGTTGTCAGTGCGGTAATGCCCGGTGTAACACAAAATAGTATACAAAATAAAAATATTCTTTAAATAGGTAAATATAAACATTGCATTAAAAATAGAACCGTATCAAAACACAATATGAGTTCACAGTCCGTCTCCTGACCCTCACAGCCACTAGGGTTCACGGGCAAAGTCTCACTGCTGATGCTTTACTGAGACTTGAGCCCCGAACTGTTGGTAGAGAGGGGGCAGGAGTAGGCTTTGCCCAGAACGATGCGGTCTCGGAGTAGTTTAAAAAGCACATAGTAGTTGCAGAAGAGAATCAGGCCCAGGGACAACGTGTGGTTCCAGCGCTCAGAGCGCAGCAGAGAGTATAACTGGTATAAAACCACGCTGGACTCGATCCCGATCAGCAGGTTCAGGATCCGCAACGGCTTGTGGAACAGGAACTGCAGGAACAACAACGGAAAACAGGAACTAAAAATCTTAAAGTGATACACAGATGAAAACATATCTACCATTAATAAAACATAACACACTCATTCAGTCTAGCTTGGTTAGCTGGAGCACCTGGATGAAGGTAGGAAGCTCTGACAGGACTGAGAACAGCCTGAATGTGTGGCATTTATTCAAAGCAGGTGGGTGACGGAGCTGGTGATTAGTTTAAGATGGGATGCAGAAATCACAAGAGTCACACAAACTCACAGACACATCAGCACTCCCACCGGAATCAACCTACCAACCTGCAGGGTAGGAGACTGAGGACATGGCTGAGGGGAGCAGAGACATCCCCTCCCACAAAGACAGACTGTGTATCTTGTTTTATAATCAGTTTAGTTTTTGTTTCCTGTTTTAATTTGTGCAGCTTTAATGCTGACGTGGAACAACGCAGCTCCGCTTTCAGTCAGAGAAAACCAACGCCCCATCAGAACATCCTGTTTAGAACCGATAACTGAATAATAATAATAATAATCCCACATGTGGCACAGCTTTAGCTCATCGCTGCTGCTCGGCTAAAACTTCCAATCTCCAGTTTTCATCCTTTTCACGGTTTTACATCGGTCATCTTTCACATCCATCAGTGTAAAATGTTCTTCTCACGCCACAAACAGATTTCATTAATGAAGGTTATTTTCCTAATTCTCTCTTTGGCATCTAAAACACTCATGGATTAAGTCTGTGGTGTGTCACAGTTATTTACCGTTTATCTTTTGTGTATAAGATCCATCAACAATAACTATTTATCCCAAAAGCCCTTTTTGGTTTTCACCCCAAAACTTGGATCTTGCTGCATTTTCTTACTTGCAAATGAAAGAAATGGTTCCAAAAAAGGCACGCAGGGAAATGAAAGGACACATTGGATCTTGTAAGCCTTAATCATCTTGCAGTTTGCAAAACTAATGAGATTAAGACAATTAAGCAAAATTATATTCAGATGAATTATTGGTTAGAAGCTATTTTCATCCCAGCTGCATGAATAAATTAATTTATAATCACTGTTAAGTTAATGTATTTGAGATTATCTAGCTGTAGGTTAAACAGTAAGAACAGAACCATAAAAGCAGATCAACTCCTGACCGATTCCTGCTTCCTGCTGATGTTGGCAACAAGTTCTTTACTTCCTGATTTTAGTATCAACATGAAATTAGAAAGTTGGAGACTGCCTCAGTGATGAAATCAGATACTCACATAAAACCTTGCATGAGAAACATCAGAGGGCAAAGCCACGTTATAGGGTCCGACTGCTTTATACAGACATCGGCTGTGTCGTACCAACACCCCCTGAGGCCAAATGGTGCCTTCTGACCACCTGCAGAACACCAACACCACACTTTTAAACATCAACAGCATTTGTTAACCTTTAAAGGTGTATTTAGGAGCCACTCACACATGCTGGGGAGCGTTACTGTATGAGCCATGCTCCAGTTTCTGCCAGCGGCCCAAATGAGCCGCAGAGCGATGCAGCAGGTCACAGTAACCGGGGGGGAGCAGTTGGCTCATCAGCATGACGAACGCGTTGATCCACACCATGATCAAATGCTCACATGACCAGCGCATGTCGTAGTATTGAGTACTCTGTTGGCGTTACATTAAAATAAGGATTACTTTAAAACTGGCACCAGACCAGACAGATGCAGGAAGAATAAAGAATTCTAACTTTTACAAAGCAGAGAGGCAGGAAGGCTACGTAGTAAGCGCTGAACAAAGAGTTGAATAGCACTTCCTTGATTCTCTTGTTAAAATCACTTTTCAGCTCCTCCACCTCTGCTCGAATAAGCTCCGGTGTGTCCGGGCACGAGTGCGTGGGCATGTGTGGGGGGCTGGAAAACTGCTCTCTTAGGTTTTCCCGTAAAAGGAAAAGGAAGTCGCGTGGCCGAAAGAGCGGGGACTCTGTCAGGTCGGTCTGCTGGTGGTCAGCTGGATAATCACAGTCAGATGCTATTGTTTGGCTTTTCCCTCCCTCCTGATGGAAACAGCAGAGCGGGACGTACACACCGAACCTAACGAGGGAGGAAAGAGAGCAAAAAGTTGGTTTTATTTGATGATGAGGACGTGAAAGCATTACACCAACATCAAAGGAACAGCAGATTCTACATCTACTTCCATTAAAACAGTCAAACCACACAGTGAATGACAGTCAATACAGTTTAACAACCACGTGAATCTGCGTCTTCTGCAGGTGGACATGAGACTTAAACTCACGGGTATCCCAGGAAGAGCAGGTTGAGCACAGAGTGGTTCCTGCAAAGATTGACCAGCGTCCAGCAGAGCACCCAGCCACACAGGGTCAGCAGGCTGAGTCGAGCTGTTATCAGTACCACGTAGCGGAGCAGACACCCTCCGCTGCTCTGAGACACCTGGACCAAACAGACTTCATAAGGAATCTGAAGAGGGTTCATCTGGATGGAGCGAGAGCTGGTTGGTGTGTTTACCTCTGATACAATTGTCCAAACAAGCCTCCTGGCCAACATGACAGTGATGAAGATAGCCAGGTGGTAGTCCATTAGATGGAAATTCTGCATGGATGAGAAAATAAATCATCATGAGACATTTCTGTATTTCTGTTTTAATTTATACAACTTTTATTTCTAACATATTCAAAGGAGTTTATATTCATATTTTTACAAAGAAAGAGAAGTCAGTCAGTTTTACTACAGATAACAGAACTATTTCTGTTGATGGACAAGAGAGATTATATGTTAAGGTTTTTTTTTTTATGTGAGACAATAAATATCAAATTACAATAAAATAAAGAAAAGCATTAACCAAGCAGATGTGTGTGCTCTTACAAGTGAGGTAGAGGCAGCAGGGTGACTGTAAGGGTACCACCACACTGTCCTGTAGATGTTGATGTACTGGACAAACAAGGCAACCAGCAGGTAAAGGAAGAGCAGGAACTCAAACAGCAGGCTGCTGTCCAGAGGCAGCTTGGGGATCCTCGAGTGGCGGACCGGCTCTGGGGTGATGAGGGCAGAAAGAGGCGGGGCAGATAGACCCACAGAGGCACTGCTCCTGGATAAATACATACACAACGTAACACATGCACCATGTTTGGGACGCACCACATCTACCTACACTTGGCAGGCGCAAACCTACAGAAACACTAAATAAAACTTCACTCCTTAAAACTGAGACAGAATTTTTAGAGCGCTTAAACAAATAAGTAGGCTAAACTTTAATGAATTAATTTCTATTTTCATGTAAATAAAAACATAGATAATGCTCCTTGTTTATCCAGAAAGTGATGATTAATACTAATACAGTGTGCTTGTTTTATCAAGTCAATTTATGCTACAAATGAGAACATCTGCTAGCATTACAGCTCAATACAGACGATGTTTTATAGTCCTTTGTGCATTCATACTGTGTTTTTGTCCGTAATCCATTTTCTAGTTCTTTTCTCAAACAGGTTACTAAAAACTATTTATTTACCTTACATGTTTTAGCTAGTAGCTCTAGTGATCCTCAGAGATCGCCGGTGGTGGTGGCGTCGCTTCATTTTATCCGCGGGCAGCAGAGGACGATGTCGCCCTCTACTGCTCGCATCCTCCTTGCTGATGACACAGTCCCATGCGTGAGCCAATGTGTATGGACCATGAACAGAGAAGATGGAACATACACATTGGATCATGCATGGAACTGTTTTCAGCAAGGAGGATGCGGGCAGGGCAGTAGAGGGCGACATCGTCCTCTGCTGCCTGCGGATAAATGAAGTGATGCCACCACCATCGGCAATATTACAGGATGGCTAGAGCTACTAGCTGAAGCATGTCAGGTAAATACATATTTTTTACTAAACTGAGTAAGAAAAGAACTAGAAAAAGCATTACAGTGTTTTATGTGTCTGAGGGTCCAGAAGTACGATCGTACCTGTTCCTCAGCCCGGTGCCATTGCCAACAGCACCTCCAACTAAAGTCTGCAGGGACGGCAGACAGGAGCGCGTTATTTGCTGTCTGCTGGGACCCCTGCGACCTCCTGGCATGGTCGCCAGTTACCGTTCTTCTCAACAAGCCACCATGTACTGTAAGGGCACAAAAAACAGAGAATTCTTTGCAAAAATGTAAACAGATCCTAAACAGAAATAATTTAGTCAAATAAAAAACAATGAAGAGGAGCAATGGCCGATGCCAGCTGGAAAGGTAAATGAAATCCAGCAAGGTTAATAACAACAGAGGCTCATGTTTTTCAGTAAGTTTGTTTAGTTGATTCAAGATCTTGTTCTACATTTTTTATTTTTATTAAGTTAAACTAAATGTTATTTCATATTTTTTTATGTAGCTACTAATAACTGGTGCTGAAGTTTCCGTTTCTCATAATTTGTGTTTTTCAACACAAGTAAAATTACAGGAACCTGTAACAGTTTGTGATGCAAATGCAAAGGTTGCATGAAGTAAGAGTGACATCTGCTGGTCAGATTTGAAGGTATTTCAGTCCATATATCAAAAGAAAGAGTCCACTCTGAGCAACTGCTGCCAGCTAGGGATCAGCACCTGAAGAACCTGGGTGACAAGCAAAGACAGGCCACACATAGGAAGTTGATTAGTAGATAAATATATTTCACATTGTGTTGTTGATAATTTAAAAAGTAGCTTGAGATATTTTAGAGGCGACTATTTGCTTCCATTTCACTCTTAGCATTTTTAGCTCAACATTAGCCTCTAGCCTTCTTTACTCGATATGAGAGTGAAACAAAAAGACGTTGTGGCTTCTTAGGGGTACATGAAACTGGGGCTGCTGCTTTTGAATATTTTAGTATTTGAATATTCTATCGAATCCTTCATCGATTAATCGAGTACTCTAATTGACAATGTTGCGAGTGAAACAAGACTGGTCTGCTGCTAAAAATATGAAAGTAAACAACAAAATTATAAAACAATATGTATTACACTCGTGTCGGCTAGTTCTCTCTTTCCCAGCTGATATTTCTAGTTAATAAATATTGAATGGAACAAATTTTGACTTACATTTCATTAACATTTTAGGTTTGTATTAATATCACTCATTCTAGACAAAATAACATGTCTAAATATATCCATATATATATATGGATATATATATATATATATATATATATATATATATATATATATATGGATATATATATATATATATATATATATATATATATATATATACACATTAGGGCTGCACAATATTAGGAAAACCTGCAATATTTGATAGCAGTGATTAATATTGCGATGATGATATTACTTGCGATAAATAAAAACATAACTCAGGAACAAAAATAATCAAAACAAAGTGTAAGGAAAATGAGAGGTTCTTACATTTTATTTAAAGAGCCGTAAGGCGTGGGATCCCATAGTAAATATGAAATCCACCATACGGATCGGTGGGTTATTTAAACCAGAAGATCGGATCTTTTTAACGCAGAGATTATGTAACCGTTATGTATTCACTCAGAGACAACAGAATAGAGAGAGTCAACTTTAAACGTTAAGAATATTATTACTAACAAATTAAACTAGGCTGACTTCAGAACTAAATGTATGGTGTAACTAAAAATGGATGAGACGATGAATGGATGACGTGTCATGTAAATCAGAACCAGCAAATCCGAAGAAGCGATTAGTTCTGACGGGAACTGAAGATGTTGTTTTGAAAAAAGCTTGGGTTAGTTTCAAAACCGCATGAGACACCATCAAGCCGGGTCTACCTGCCTTGTGGAAGTCCTCTGGTAGATCAGGAATGCAGAGGTCCAGCGGACCCTCTCTGGAAACCGAGCTGGTAGAAGAAGCCGCGGCTCCGACTAGACCTGTCTTGAGTTACCTCCGGCACACGACTCTTTTATTGGCGTCTGTTCAGACCCAGCCTGGGTCGGTGGAGCTTTTATTCTGAAAGGAGCTGTTGTTGCCGCTGGTTGTTATAGCGACTGGATTTTCAGCTTGTCGTGGTTCTTTCGGTTGAAGAGTTAAAGGTCGGATTGGCCACTCCCGACGCTTGCTCTGGAACGCTTTTGAACTGGCGTTAGAGCTGATGTGGCATAGTTTTATACCTCGGATGTTATGGTTTATTGTCGAATGAAAATAACCAAACACCGTCAGAAGCACGGCTCTGTCAGATCTGTAAAATTCTGATTGGATCAGTTAAAAAAATGCGTTATGTCTTTTTAACACTACGTGAAATGAGTCCTGTTGGAATCCTTAAAGTCACAGACTTATCATTTCTAAGATCATAGTAAAGTAATTAATATTTTAATTTCATAGGTCGGTCACATTTTATTATTGACAAACACTTTGATGGATTAGCTTTATTAAAATAGAGTTCTTTGATTAATTAAAAGAAAAGAGTTCATTCTTCGTTCTTCTGTCTTCATTGCTGGAACGTAAACAGTTTAGAAGTGAATGCATGACCTTGAGGCTGTTTCATGCACTCTGGCACAATGTCAAAAGGGAACGCTGTTAGTGGATAGAAATGACTCCATCCCCTTACAAAAGAAATAAAAAATCATAAAAATGAGAAAAGCAAAAGATGTGAGGAAAGGGAAAAAGAAAATGAACAAGAAAAGGCAATCCGTGGATCCCGGGAAAAGCAGAATCAGCAGAAAGAGCAGAACAAAGCTAACTCAGGTGTTTGCTAACCATCAAACCTCAGGGGCGGGCATCTAACCTATGACAACCCACCCAGTTGGCCAAATGAGTGAAGAGCTTTATTTAGTTGTTAGATAAAACATCATGCTTCCATTTGATTGACAGAATGCATTATGTGTAGCAAACATTTGAGCTTGAGCTGACCATTCATTGCGATATTTATCTGTTCTTTGCAATATGCATATTGTGCATGCTGATATCGCGATAACGATATATTTACGATATATTGTTCAGACCTAATATATATATAAATAAATTAATTAATAATGTATGGGCTGGCAACATAATCCAGTCTAAACTGATTCGTGAATTACATGCTACAATGGCTTGTGATACACAAAGATGCTGTGAGAGGAGCAGAATCGTAGCAACAACCCAGACTCCAGGTAGCTGCTGTGGCTCTGCCCCACACTGCTGCAGACATCCACACATAAACAGGATGAATGGTGGGGATTTTTCTTCCGCTTGTAGTTTAGTGATTCATAGCCATTATGTTTTTTCTGAACCCGAATTGATCGTGAGCGTGCTACGCAGTGGCTTAGCATTAGCAATTCTGCTCATTGTTTCACTCTTGATCATAAACTAGGGCAACTAGGTTGGTAACATTCATGTGCCTTTAAGAAGCTGTACCACGTTGATTCTGGGGATGGGTACTTTTGACATTTGAATCGATTCGGTACTAATTCCCGGTACCTAGGAATTGATACCGGTACTTAACGGTACCAATTTTCGATACTTTTGAGTGTTTATTATTTAAATTCTCTTTTATAATTAAATATATATTTTTCTCAATATATAACAATATTTGATAAATATCACGATAAATAACATTCAACTGTTTGTATTTTAACATCGTCCTTGTAGTTTTATAAGCTGATAATTAAACTGAAGCAAACATCTTTACTGTGAACTAAATTTACTGTGTATCTTCATTCCTTATGCCATTTGATTTTTCCTACTGGGAAGTTAGAATTTCTGAGGAGAAAGCGAACGTACCATTAGCTGATAACAACGGTGGCAATGGAAGCTAACATATCAAGCTAACGTTATCTTAAACAGTTTATTTAACTGCTGGAGCAGATTAAAACGATGATGCCTCACACTTAGATCGTTGTCACTGGTTTCATCTTCACCCAATCACCCGTCGCATTTAGTGAAGTGGACCCAAGCTTTAGCATGTGTTCTTTCTACCATGCTGCTCTCGTTATGAAGGACGGGTACCGAAACGAGGCACCGCTTGAAATGACGTGAATCGGTGCTCGGTCGGTACTATGGAATTCGATCGGTGCCTTAAAAAGTACCGAATTCGGTACCCATCCCTAGTTGAGTCATGTAAAAATATGACAACGTAATACATGTGACAGCCCCATCTAGTGGACAACTTTTGTTTCTGCACATGCCTGTAGTTATCGTCCATTTATCGTTAGAGGTGAAATTCTCAATATATCGTGATATTGATTTTAGACCATATTGCCCAGCCCTATCCCAAACTTTGGACCATTTCTGCCTTTTACAGTGGGTTGTGCCTTTGCTGTGTTCTTTGTTTTCCTCCACAGCACCTAGATTACCTCATTGTGCATCAGTAAAATGTGTTCAGACTGTGGTGCGCACATTTAACCAAGCTTCGAATCAGTAAAATAAATGAAATGAGGAATTTAATGAATCTAACCATTTGAAGATTTGTTTCAGCCCCACATGAAAAAACTTCTGGGTCGCTCCTGGTTACTGGCTTACATCATGTTCACAACACTGCTCTTCTTCAGCCAATGTTTATTTACAGATGCCCTGGTGTAGTGTTTGTGTTGAAGACTTGGCAACACTGAGGACTCAAATATGATTGGCTCTGGAACCAGGAAGTATGGAGGTAGGACAGATTGTAAATAACGATTACGTCCCTCTTCTGCCTTTTTAAAAGGAGAAAAACTGGTGAATTTGTAAACATTTCAACCTTTGATTTAAATAAATTTGTTTTCTTTAAGTTTCTGATTGTTGCTGAAATAAGTATTCTTCTTTAAATTGTTTCAGAAAGATTTCAAAAACCAGTGCAGCTCATAATGTTGTCTAAGTGTAATAATATCAATTGAGAGTGCACAAAATTCAACATTAGGTAAAGTTACACAAGAAAAACCCACCACCACCAAACATCCAGCACATAAAATAACCACAAATAACCACAGTCATAAACATCTTCATTCTGGTGTTTATGAAAGGAGATTTTTATGTCATTTGTTTAGACCGCTTTAGTTAGCTCAATGTACCACAAACAGAATTACCCAGTTTATGAACTATAGGTAATGAGCTACCTCCAGCAGATTAAACACCAGTTAAAAAGACGTATTTCTCATGTCGCAACTGAAACCACCTCACCAAACCTCCCTGCTTAAAACACTTCTTGTGGCTGTCAGACAACATC